CTCCGTGACAGACAAGTGGTAATTGTTTGAAGTGCGTGACACTGCCTCAAATGCAGCTGAGTTGCAGGAATCTCTCCTGCTCTCACCTCTTGACTCCCCAGGGCCTGTCTACCATCTGCAAGGCACAAGTCAGGAGTGTGATGGTATACTCCCCACTTGTCTGGATGGGCGCAGCTCCAACAACACTCAAGAGGTTCAACACCATTCAAGACAAAACAGCCACTTGATTGGCTCCACATCCACCGCCTTCAACACTCACTCCCTCCGTCACTGATGCACAGTGGCATCAAAATGTACCATCTACAAGATACACTGCAGCAACTCATCAAAGCCATTTCTATAACATTATCCAAACCCACAACCACTAACCAAACCACCTCAAGGTCCAACGGCACCAGGCACATGGGTCACCAACCACCTGCCAGTCACAAACCATTTTGACTTGGAACTACATCGCTGTTGCTTCACTTTCACTGGGAATAACTCTTGAAAATGAATCTACGTCTGCCTATCCCACCCAGAATGCAGTGGTTCAAGAAAGTGGCTTGCCACTATCTCCTCAAGCACAACAAGGTGTGGCCAATAAATGTTGCTCACAACCTAGGAGTTAATAAATGAAAGGTAATGTAATATTGTTACAGTGTATTGTGACATGCATCCTAATAAGACCATGCATGTTCTTCCTTAACCATTATAGAGGAAGAAGTTTTGGATTTAGTACAAAGGCTTCCATTCCTTCAATATAAGGTGAAGCCACAAATTGTGTGTAACTTTTAGCATAAAGGTAACACTTTGTAACAAACTCAGATCTTTCACTGATGCATTAATTTCAGTGGTAGACCTTCTTTGTGCAGTTATCATGCTCATTGTGCTCCTGCTCTGTATCCTTGATGTTTTGTGTGTCTGCACCAATAATAACGTGTGATTAAAGAGTTGTTATTTCACCTACCTGACACCGATTTTCTCTACATTGTTAAAGTGAAGCTAAAATGAAAACTCAAATCAGTTTTATGTACTCTGTGTAACAAGCATCTGCTGTAACCATGGCAACTTGTGCTTTAATAATTGTCATTGAGTCCCTGTAATATCACTATGACAAAGAAAAAGCTACACTGGATACATAGTCAATAACACACCACAGGACAGTTCTTTCTGCACAAAGGACATTACATCGATGCAGATTGTTCTAAAGTGAAGCTCAGTTTGTTTGATCTGGTGATTTAGATCATTAAAAAAGTCTTTGGTTCTCGAAAAACATCAAGGAATTCTTGTCGTGTGGCCAATGTATATTTGTCAACCGATACCTTGAAAACTGATTATTTGGCCATTCATCTCTTACCTGTTTCTTGGATAATGGGGGAAACCAGTTTTCACTCTGGGTAGCCAACTTGAGGAGTTTAAGGCTCCTGCATAGAAAGCTAAATCATTTTTTTTTCGCCACTTGGCTTTATCAATTGTGGAAATGATCAGAAAATTCACGGACCATACTCTGTCGTGATCCATCCTACAATTGGAATTCAGATCCAGTGCCTGTCTATTGCCTCATCAGTAGCGAGCATTTCAACTGCACAGTGAAATAGCCCTTTTCAAAATGAAGGTTTGAACAGGTATATGCATTCCTTTCTGATGACCGTGTCAATCTGCAATAATTGGGATGTTAAAATTCATGTCATAGGGGAAAAATAGGCAACTGTCACTGTACTTCAAAGTAGAGTCTTGCTAAGCAATGAGGGGGCTGAAAGGTTATCAGGGGTAGGTGGGAATGCAGGGTAGCTAGTTCTTCCATGATCATATTGAATGGTAGAGCAGGCTTGAAGGGGCCGATTGGCCTCCTCTTGCTCCTGATTCATATTTTATTAAGTCTATCTATTGTGAAGAATGCTGCTTGGTTTTACAGAAAATGATTCCCTTTTCCACTGTTATATCAATTATCCCATGTTCCCCCTTACACCTCTGCATTCTCCCTTCCACAATCGTTTGTAATAAGCTCAAGTTCTTTCCTCAAACCAATCCATTAATAGGACAGCTTTTATCTGTCTTTAAAACACTATTTGCCTTTGCTCATAGGTGTCCACCGCTGGGTTCTCTCAGTGCAATCCCTACTTTTCATTGAATCATAGAAATGTACAGCACAAGAGGCCATTGAGCCATGTGGTGCCTATGCTAGCTCTTCGAACAAGCAGCAGTGCACTGTTCTACTCATTATTCATAACCTTGTAACTTCTTCCTCATCAAAAATCAAAATTATTGATGGATCAGCTTCTCCTGCCTCTACAGACCAAATCTCCCATATCTGAACCAGTATTCAATTGATTTCCACTGATCTTGTTTAGGGTGGGTACGCTGGCAGGGGTGAGAAGCCTCAACATTGCACCCTCTGAAGAGTCTGTTGATAACCCCTGAATTTTCACAGTATTGTGCACACTTGTGGGCTCCATTCCAATCTCTGGAATGTGAACTCTGTCTCTCTCACTTTCCACAACAGACCCACTGAGTATTCCCACTGCTTCCAGTTTTGTACTTATACTTCCAACACCCAGTGTTAAACTTCAGCCAAATGCAAAAACAGGTTATCATTTGTTTTAATCATGTGAAGGTCCCTTTCAATACAAAATATTGAGTCAGTCAAAACAAATTCTCACCCAGTGGTATCTATTCATCATGCCATTGGATAGCTCTTTTTGTAATAGATTTTTGAGATTAACTTGAGGCATGTTCAGTCTGTAAACTCATGCCTCTTAGTGCTGGGTGGGAAAATAGCAGGAATGGAGAGTAACCACATTCATACATCCTAGACTGAGATTGAGTTCCCAAGTATCTGTGGCTGCCTGGTGCCACTCCATTTCTGTCCGATTCTGAACTTGATTAGCACAGAGGTCACAGTTGAGCCTGATTCCAGCCTTCTTTCGATGTTTACTTTCCTATGAACATAGGAGTCAGAAGCAGGAGAAGGCCATTCAGCCCCTTGAGCCTGGTCAAGCCATTTGACAAGAGTTGATCTGACTGTAACTTCAACTCCACATACCTGTCTACTCCTTATACCCTTTCGCCCTCTTGCTCACCAAGAATCCTTGTGTTAAAAATATTCAAAAACTCTGCAGTCTCTGGCAAGATGGTTTAATTTAAACGCTCCTATCCCCCCAAACTGACCCCCTACCTACCTTCACTCCCTTCATAACCCAGCATTGCACAGGAAAATTCACAGGATGATACAACACAGAATGAAGCTTTCAGACCTTTCATAACTACGCTGGGAATCTGTCAGAGCAATTAATCTCCTCTCCCTGCCTTCTTTGCCCACAGCCCCATTATTCTATTGCCTCTGGGTGTTTATTGCATTTGCTTTTGAATGTTATTAATTGTTTTCACTACTCTCCCAGGCAGTGCATTTCCAGATCACAATCACTGCTCTGTGAAAGTAAGGAAAATCTTTGTCTCACCTCAGGTTGTATCTATTACCTCAACCTGTTTCACATTTACAGCTTCCCTGCTGTACTCTGATTATTCATTGCGAAGCCCAGGGCTGAATTTTTTACATTTTACAGCCTTGTATTTTCATGAGGCTTCTGTACCAGATTCATCAAGTGAGTGGGGAAAACCTCCACAAAGAAAAGACAAGATTCAAACAGCTGAAATTCATTAACACCCAGTAACTCACTGAAAAAAGAGAAGGGGAGAGGAAATGTCTTTGTAACAGCATTGGAATTGCTCATTTTAGGGACTGGTGACAGAAAGTCAAGACAAGGGTAATAATTGACACAGTTTCAAATACTTTATCAAAAGAAAATGCCAAATATCATACATTTCAATGTAATTTATACAAACTTCAACAGCTCCATTCAAAGCTGATTGATTTACAAATTTCAGTGGAACATTTTGAAATTGGAAAGGAGACTGTTAACAAACCAATTTGTTCAAATGAAAAAAAACTAGATGAATATTCATTTAAAAAAAACTTGAAAATTACCCCTCACCCAACACAAATGAATTGATAACTTTGGGAATAAAGCACACAGGTTTTAAAATGGTGCGGTCCATCCACTATGATAACCATTTCTTATCTTGCTCCTGGTAAAGATGATCTCGTTAAGAGTGGCCTGATTAGTACAGTCATTGTGATATTGTGGCAATTAGTTTGTGGTGGAAATACTGCGGGGAGGAAATAAAAAGTGCCAAAAATAACAGACAAGCATTCAATTTGTTTGTGGAATACAGGAGAAATACAATGGAAATAAAGCAATCATCATGCTGTGATCAGTAACATTACTTAAATAGAATCCCTACAGTGTCAAAGCAGGTCATTCAGCCCATTGAGTCAATGCTGACCCTCTGAAAAACATCCAACTCAGACCCACTCTCCTACCCTATCCCTGTAACCCTGCATTTCCCATGGCTAATTCCCAGGGCAATGTAGCACGGCCAATCTACCTCACCTGCACACCTTCGGACCGTGGGAGGAATCTGGAGCACCCAGAAGAAACTGACACAGACACAGGGACAATGTGCAAATTCTACACTGACAGTTGTCTGAGGCTGGAATTGAACCCAAGTCCCTGGCACTGTGAGGTAGTAGGGCTGACCAATGAGCCACACCTCTTTCTTCATTACCTATAACCCGTGGGGAACTGAAAGTCGCAAATTCTCCCCAGTGCCCTGAGCCCCAGCAGCCACAGAGGAGCCAGCCTCGTTGTGCCTCTTCGAAACTGTGAACACAAGGCTGGCTCTTCCAATTTGTTGCTTTCTTAACTGCAATGACTGTGGCCAAGGTAATACAAGGCCAAGTGCTGGGCAGTGGGATCACAATAATTAGTGAGTGGGCTGAAGGTCCTTTGGGTACATTTCTGATGTCCCTGTTGAGTCCCAAAACTTGTGTGTGTGGGGGGGTGTGGGGTACAGTTTCCAGGAGCCTGTGGGGAGGGAAGGGGATTGCGGTCGAGCTGTGCAACCGCACCCACAACCCCCTCACCCCCACCCCCAACACACACACTTTAGCAGTCCATTCAGCCCCTCCTCTGCTCCATGCCATTAGGCAGGAAGCCAGCGATGATGGGCACAGGCCAGATGAGAGCGGCCACACTCCAGATGATGATGACGATGGTCATGAAGCAAGCCACCAGGGTGGACTCGATGGGTTTGCGGTTGATCCTCCAGCCCTTGTCCCAGCTGAGCTCCTCCAGACTGAAGTGCAGGCAGCAGAAGCTGACCTGCTGGCCCTGGGGGGTCGGGCTGAGGCGGCCCCTCCGAGGGGGACCCCCACAGCCCACGCAGAGCTTGAACTCCTGCTGGCCGCCTCCGACCCCCACATGGTCAATGATGACCGGGGGGAAGACCCGGGTGAAAGCTGCCGAGAAGAAGGAACGGGCGTTGCTGTTGGTGGTAAACAGGAGCACGTCGCACTTAAAGCCCATGGACCTCTCCCAGCGAGCGAGCAGCGAGGTAGCGACCAGCCTCAGCACCGTGATGTTGCAGCGATTGGAGGGAGGGCTGAGTGCCGGAGCCCCAGCCCCGGGCCCGGCTACAGCCCCGGGACCCTCCAGCTCCAGCGGAGCAGCCAGTGAGAAGTTAAGCGCTGTGCTGTTGGGCTGGAAGTAAAACTCCTCTCCGCTCCAGCCCAGTAACCCAGGCAGCCCGGTGCTGGCGAGCAGAACCAGGGACAGAAACTGGCTGGTCAGCATGGCACTGTGCCAGGGCACTGCATGGTCACCGGGGACAAGCTGGCAAACACGCTGGGCAGCAGGAGATCTGAGTTCCTCTCTCTCTCTGTCTCTCTGCACACTCTACAGCATGAGTCTCTCACTTTTCCACTCTCTGTGTGCAGGCTGGAGGTCTCCTGCCCCTCTCTCTGTGTGCA